ATTGTTTATCTTTTAACTCTTCACAATTATATTATTCTTATAAATTTTTCTAAGGTCCACATTGTGTGACAATTTTTTTTACAATCTTTTTGCGGCTGTAAACACCAGAATTTCCCCATTATGGGTCAATAAAGGGATTTTCTATTCTATTCTGTTCTGTTCTATTCTATTCTATTCTATTCTATGATTGTTCTTCTGCATCTCAGCTTTCTGCTGTGTAAGATGATGATGTTGCAGTTTGTCACTGATTGAGCCTCTGACTGCAGACGGATGCTCATCCTGCCTGTGGTGCCCGGGATCCACGGTTCTCCATATTTGAGATGTTTTATGGAGAGGATCTTGTTCCATTATTGTTTTATTATTTTATTATTGCAAACAACACATTCTGTAAATGAAATTTGAAAAAGACGGAACCCAGAATTAAAACTTTTAAAAAGTTTTGAAAGAATCGTCGCTGTTTTCTCAGAATTATGTTTTTCTCAATCTTTTAACATTTATTTTGCACATATTATTTTTTTGAAATTCAAATTTTGTTTTTTTTAAACCACATTTTTTTTTATGTAACGTTAAAGTTGTGTTTACATGTCATGCTCCATTTACCTTTATTTTGTAAATTTCCATTTACAAAACTTGGACTTTGCTTGCAACAATAATGGAACAAAATTCACTGCATACAGATGTTGCTGTTTAAAATAGTATTTTTTTATTGTCTCTTTTCAGACTGAGTTTTGAAATGTGCTTTACAGATCACTTTCTTTTCACTTCAAAGCCTCGCTCGTGACGCGCACATCAACCAGTAAATTTGTTGTTGACGTCCAGCAACCAATAATAATGGTCCTCTTACAGTAGCTTCTCACTCTGGGGGAAAGCATCAGCCATTGGTAAGACTTCCTGTTCTTAGAATATATAGCATGATTCCAGAACAGGATTACCAAGAGCAATTATCTTACTGCACTGGCAGATTATTCCACCTATTATGATGAGAATTTTATGCAAAATGAGATTAATAATCTGACAGTCAGCTCTTTTTGAGTATACAAATCTTAAAACAAGATTGTAAAGAGTTTTTAATTAGATCAGAGAGAAGGACATTCCTGCAGTGCATATCCTAGCCTATTCCAACTGTTATAAATAACATAGTGTATACTAGGGGTGTGGGAAATAATCGTTTTGGCGATATATCGGGATTTTCGGCTGCCCAATATAATATCGATCTTTCACTTCTTAGTATCAATTAAAAAAAAAAAAAAAAATGGTTACATAAAACATTGATGGGAAAATGGGCTACCTCTGCACCACCACTGACAGAAAGCGCTGTGGAGCCCTTTAACTGCGTGCAGCACCAAATCTGTATTTCAGGCAGTCACAGTGGAAGAAAACCTCAAACAACAATGGATAATAATACCTAATCAATATTTTCTATATTGATATTGATTGATATATACAGCACTTGCTGTTTTATCTCATCATTTGATTTTGATAGCTGGGGAAAATATGGCAATATATAGTGATACTGCAATATCATGATAATATCGTATCGTGACCAAAGTATCGCAACATGTATCGAATCGCAACACTCATGCCAATACTCACCTCTAGTGTATACTGCAAAAACTGAGCTAAAAACTTCTCTCTTTATCCTCTGACATGGGAGCTGGCTGGGAGCTCGTCTGCCTGACTGTATGTTTCCTGGACAGGGCCGCCTGTGGAGCTGGTTGACAGTTGCCTTTTGTATCTATGCTTCTTTTTCTATGTCTGCTTCTGTGTCCTTGAACCCCAGTCGGCCTCAGCCTATCCTAAACATAAATGATCTAATTCCATTATCTGCCTTACCTACTCAACTCAATTACAAGAGAAACTGACAATCATATTTCAATTTTTGCAGTGTAAGTATGGATTTAGAAATTTTAACAAAAAAAACTGTATTAAACATATTTTGAAATGTGTTTCTATGTGGGGGTGGGGCAGTATAATTGCTGCTGTTGAAAGCTAGAAATGATTTCCATAGATTTCCCATTTTCAGATCTCTTTTATATCTATCTATAGTACCTAATATTGAAATGGAGCAAAAACAAACAGCTAAACTTTAAAAAAATGAAACTTTAACCGTTTAGTTTGTGTCTTCAAGTTGTTGCCCATAGGAAGACGTAACTTGGATATAACCTAATATAACGGAATATCTTCAGAACGGCTCCAAATGACACAAAACTCATATGGATGAGTAATGATGTAATAACGTAAAATCAAGGGCCCAATGTAAAAAAACGGGGTTCCCCTTTAAGTGGGGGTAATAATTCAGAATGCATAAAATTCCGCCGGTAAAATGTTTACCAGCAGGTGGAGCCATTGCGCGCTGCTCCGAGCTGACACCAAAAGTTCCAAACCCCACAGCTCTGGAACTGTTATAGCTAGAGGTCTGAAATTTTCTACATTTGTGGTCAACATGATGTAGAGCAAATATAATACAATAAAATCTGCCTTTTCTCAAGAATGTCTTTAATAATGCTGTTAAGATAAGACCTATCATTTCGGAGAATAAAAAAACAACAACTTTGAGTCATGTTTAAACTGATGCAGGTTGGTCTGTGTTGTAGTCACCCAATTTTATTTATTTATTAGGAAACTAGAGGATGTTAGCTTTCAGATAATGTATTGCACATGCAATTTGGGCTTACAGTTCCTAAGTTATTTGCTTTTCCATTTGGGTATGCAAAATAGGCGAGGATTACCCAAAATGAGGTGGGTGTTAAGAGGTTAAAGGAGATTGTAATTTATTTTTCTGCAATATTTAAATAGTTTAGTGATGAGTTCTTTCAGTAACAGACTAACTTCAGCTTGACTGAATGATGCATTCAAAATCATAGAGTTTAATTCATTTCTCTTTCTGTTGGAGGTTCACCTCCTGTGTGTCCCAGCTGATTGCCGTCACCCCGCCTGGTGTGGTGATTTTTTTTTTAAGCCCCACTTTGTGTGTGAAATTATTTCTTTTAACTATTTGACTCAAATCTGCATTGAATTAAATGCATATCTGTGAGTGACATGAGCAAATGGAGAACAAATTATTATCCAGCAATTCATTTGAATACAAAATAACAAACTTTGCTGAAGAAAATAAGTATCTTAAACGTAAGCCTGTCCTGCTTAGCTTCAAAGAGTAAAAATGAATACAAAACAACTTATAAATAGTGCATATTTTTTGGGCAACAGGAAACTTGAAAACAAATTTGTGCCTTAATTGCAATGACAGTTGTAAAACAGAAAAATAATCATTAGCTCAAGGCCACATAATGTGGCGATAGCCTAATTTTTCCATTTGTATTTCCTCTGAGCTCTTGCAGCAGTGCTTTGTCTTTGAGTGCTGCAGAGTAAAACTCTGAGCAAGACGGCTCCTAACTGAGACTGACAATAAGTTCAGCTTTAATTAATTCAGTGGATCATTTGTTCTGCACATCAGTCCATTTGTTCTTCATTAAGGAGAAAATCCTCTCCATAAAACCAGTGGAAGATGGGATGCAAGACACATCAGCTTGGATGTTGGGAAGGTGAGCTGCTTGAAGAACCTCCATCCACCTCTCTGCTGTTCCTTTGGACTGCCAGGATTCCTTTTCCTGAGTGAGGAGATCCAGAAGAGTTTGCAGTTCCACATTCTTCATACAGATCATCCATGGACATCCTCAGGCTGCTCTGCTGTCTCCTGCTGTGTTCTCTGTGAGCAACACTTGGCTCAACCAATGGGATGAGGAGATTCTGGATACATATATGCTGTCAGCTCATTGGTCACAACGCAGGACAGGGACGGGAACAAGTTTACCGTAAGTTTTGTATCTAAAGTGCCCCTGTTCTTCATTTTCCATTAGCTTTTTACTGACTATTTCTTTACTCCAATAAGGGACAAAGTGCGCTCCTTTTCCACTAAATATGGGACAGGTGCTTCTATTTCTAAACACAGAATAATTCTGTTTTTCATGGGACAGTTTCCATCCCTACTTACAGCAGAACCTCCTCAGCTTTGAGCTCCAGCAGCTCCTGGATCAGCTCCACTGGGAACCTGTCCCACTGCAGGGCCACTGCTTCCGGTTTCTGTTGCTAGGAAACGGTTTTATGACAAAAGATTCAATAAAACAAATTCAGAAACTCAGAGCGGAAATAAGAAGGAAACAAACCTTCATGACTGTCGGCAGCAAACTTCCCACCAAGTCCAGCTGCTCTTCCAGACCCGCTGTTACCGCGGTTGTCATGGCAACCCCTAGACTACGCAGGCTACAATGTGTTGCTTCTGTTTTGTTTTTATAAATTTTAGCTCAATTTCTTTCCTGTTTTTCCAGTTTGGATTTGATGAAATTAATTTCTCTCTAATTGCATTTTCTGAACCAATCAGAAACTCGCTCTCAATGAGCGCGTGTCTTACGTCCATGCAGACCAATAGAAGTATTTGTCACTATCACGGTGGATCAATAAAACAGAGAAAATTAATACGGAAAAATGAAACTTTTTTTTATCTAAGAAAACAGCAAAGTTGGGAACTACATTTAGAATCTGTGTTAGATTTTTTCTCTTTGCTGCAAAAACAATCAAAGAAAATTCACTGCATATAAAATAAACTAAATAAGCAACAAACAAAATAACCTTTTTGACTTTCCAAAACTTTTTCTCTAAAAACAAAAACAAAGAACTGCTGCTTTCCCGGACATGTTGACTGCTGTTGTCATGGCAACAGGCTGCCAGCGTGTCGTCACTCACCAGCCCTTCAAAGTAAATGAAAATCGAATAAGAATTATTTTTAAATAAGTTCTATAATTTTTTATGTTTTGCGAATAATAAAAATTCCCTTTCTGCTGCCAAACTTATTATTTCTTTAAACTAAATATTCGGATATGTTTCTTAAACACTGAGAAGGATGAAGATGCTGGATGGAGGTAAAATGCCATCTGACCTGTGATTGGTGGATGAACAGCAGCTATGATGGGGGCGGAGCTGGCGGGGAGACCAATCTTCACACAACACCTCCAATCCGCTGCGTGTCTGCGGCGCGCATCCTGCCGGAGCGGAGCCGCTCCGGAGCCGGATGCAGGAGCGCCCCGTCCGCTTTAAATCAGAGATATTTGAGGTGTTTTCCCAGATGAAACTAAAGAGCTGCAATCATCTCCATGGCTTCTTCTCCTCCTGATGCCTTTCTAACAGAAACCACTTTGGATGCTTCCTGCGCGTCAGCAGCCGCCCAGCTGTCCACCCACGCGCATGTGTCACGCAAAGCTCAGTAGAAGACATAAAGCAGGCGTGGATGTTCTGCCCTGACCGGATCTGGATGGAGTCAGGAGAAGGAGGCCGACTCCCGCAGCAACCGAGCTGGACCATCAGCCACAGGCTCCTGTGATCAGAGCATCTTCATCCTCATCCTCCTCCTCCTCAGCCAGAGGAGCATCTCCTGATCCATGGATCTGTAGCTCAGGGAAGGGTGTGGTTCTCAGCTTAGGAGCAACTTTACTGAGGCTGATGGTGAGTAGCTATCTGTCTAGGATTGCATTGCTATGTTCAAATTACACTAATCAATATCAACTTCCTTTAATGAAGATGAAATCATATATTCAGATTATAAGCAGGGGCAGATTTAGGAAATGTGGGGCCCTAGGCAAAGACAGGCAGGGGGCCCTCTGAACTGAGAAGACAACACATCAAACAATCAAACAGACCCATTATAGTTAATAGAATAGACCTACAGATTCAGTTGGTTATATATTTTTTTTATCTCTTTAATAACTTCAGAAGTATTCTCTAATCATAATGTGTTCTTATAATCCTTATTATATCCATAAACATCACAAAGGTAGTCCATTAATATTCCCTAGAACAGCAATCTAGGGAATTTCTGTTCCGCAAATGGACTGATCCAATATGGTGGACACTAATGACAAACTTAATATTATAAGCGTTCTGATGGCATTTTAGCCAAAGGATTTTAATCAATAACATAATTAATGTGAACTAAAAAGGAACAGTTGTATTAACAATACATGTAAACTAGGGGTGGGTATTGCCAAAGAAGTCACGATTTGATTCGAATCATGATTCACAGGCCACGATGCGATTCTATCACGATGCATCACGATACTTGAATTATTGCGATTTATTGCAATATTTTCTCCTCCATGTTTTGTTTTTGAATGACTCGGCACAGTATCCCGCGGCCGGAAATGCTTGTGACACAAGGCAGCGGGCGTCAACACATTTGCAGCGACATCTACTGGACTAGAAGTGGTATTGCACTTGTTTATGGCTGATGTTCGCCAACCATTCATGCAATTTTATTTATTCATTTTTTAAAATTAATAATCGATTCTTGGCATCAAGAATCGATGCAGTAGATCACGAAAATTAGAATCACGATGCATCATCATCACGATTATTTTGCACACCCCTAATGTAAACACAGTTTTATGGGGCCCCCAGGAACTTGGGGCCCTAGGCAACTGACTAGTATTGCCTAATGGTAAATCCCCTCTGATCATAAGTGTCTTAATTAGTCATTTCTGTCTAAAATCGTTTGGCTTATTGGTTGCTGCAACTCTCGACTGTCATCCTGCGCCCCCTGCTGTTCACCCTCACCACCTCACTGATCAAAAGGGCACAGAATCGCTTTTACTTCCTGATGAGGATGAGGAGAGCATCCTGTCCTCTTCACAGGCTTCACAGCATTCAATGCAGGTCCAGCAGGTTCTGCAACAGCTTCTTCCCCAGCGCCATCACACTGATGAACTGTTAGAAAACTCTAAATCATGTCACAGACTCTGCATCACACTGATAAAACCAAACCAAAATACTGCATATTTGCACCATAGATATTAATGCTCTGAACTTCCGTATCAATGCGTTTTTTTTACATCATGTTTTTTCTTCCACACTGTTTACTGCTCACTGCTGCACTTTATGGAATGGAAATGTTCATTTACTGTCTGGAAAGCTTTACTAGATGAAATTTAGTTTTTTATACACTCTGGGTATACAAAATGACAATAAGGTTGTCTAAGTCTAGTCTAAAACCTGTTGGAGTCTGCAGACGACCTGCGACTGGGACAGATTCATCGTCCAACAAAACAATGATCCAAAACATGAAGAGACGTCGGCAATGGAATGATTCACTGATAAACACATCCAGGTGTTAGAATGGCCTAGTCAAAGTCCAGAATCTGTGGAAAGAACTGAAAGGTGGTGTTCACAGATGCTCTCCATCCAACCTCACTGAACTCCAGATGTTTGCAGGAAGAATGGAATTTTGAATGGAATGGAATGAATGAATGGAAACAATAAATAGTGGAAGGAATAAAATAAGAATGAATCCAGAAATACTGACATACGAGATTAAAAGAGAAAACCAAATAAAAATGTTAAGAAACAAACAAGACTACGGAAGCCCAGAGCAGTCACACTCAATTTTTTTTTTCTTTCTTTGCCTTCCGAAATTAATTGTTTTCTCGAGATAGTAAGATAATTATCTCGTCATCAGGAGAAAACAGTTGATTTCTGGAGATAACAAGATGATTAACCTGTCTGAGTAATGAATAAGGCAGGCCAACAGCCCTGGATTCCCAGTCCATCCATGCCTGTGGGGCCTGTAGTTGTACGCAAATAATCATTTTTTTTGTTTCCTTTTTCTTTTCACTCATTGTCAGGTGGTGGTGGATGATTGGATTGCATGGAATACAGTAGAAACAAATCAGACTGTTTTTTAATGAAAATCTTTTAAAGTATCAGAGGGACACGATGCTCTGGGCACAAGATAAATAGACTAGAAAGCAACTATAAAACTGCAAACAAACTGCACTAATACTGCAATCCTCAAAATAACGAACCATTTACACACAGTACAGGGCCTTTGTGATATAAAAGTTGTTTTTATACTATCAAGCAGAGCCACCGAACAAAAGAAACCAAATTAGATTATCTTGCAAAGTGACTCCAGAGAATGGTCAGTCAACTGAGGAAAATAGAGATCTTCTCTGATGTTATGTATCTCCCCTCCTAGCTTTAGCCTGTGTGGGCTTGTGTGTATATATGTTTTGCTTTATGGAAGCTGGAAAGCATGTAAGCAGTCATGCTCAGCCTAATGGATGGTTTAGTCAGTGGAGCATGATGAGAGACCCCATTTTCATGCAGAGATGTGAAAGAAGAGAGATCAGACAGGATCTGTAAAACACAGGAACACAGAGAAGAAGTGAGCTGATGCTGTCAGAAAGGCAAAGCTGCCTTGGCTTTTGATTTCTGCAGACACGGAAATCATCATGTCGGAGTGAGTTTTGCAGAAAGCAGGACTAACTCTTATTAAACAGGCACATTTTGTTTTTACCACTTTGGGAAAGAGACTTTTTTGTGAAAGTTCATCCCTCCTGTAAGAGCCAGCCCAATTATTATGGCTAAATAACAAAGACAGTGGCTCTAATTATAGTGGTCAGGTTGCTGCTATAGATGGCAGCTATATAGGTTGCTGCTTATTCTTTGGGTTGACATGATGTTTCCAAAGCATTTAACTAAAACCAGAGGTTTTTATCAATGATGCTGATACGGCTAATTCATTTCTGAAATAATTACAATATTGCAGCTTTGAGTAATGACCAATACCAATATTAACCCAATATCATATCAGCAAAAATCATTCATAGTCTTATTACTTATTTTAGGGGGATTTGCCATTAGGCAAAACTAGGCAGTTGCCTAGGGCCCCAAGTTCCTGGGGGCCCCAAAAAACTCTGTCTACATGTATGGTTAAGTCCTTTGGCTGAAATGGCATCAGAAAGCTTATGATATTAAGTGTGTCTCAGCCCCCCCCCCCCCCCCCCCCCCCTCAGGTTCCACCATATTGGATCAGTCCATTTGCTGCACATGTTCAGAAAGATCCAAACAGACTGTCATGATGGGTTCACAAGAGAGACCCAAGTATGCAGAACCCACGAGAAGGAGACTGGTTGACAGGTTAACAAAGGTTTATTGTTTCACAAGAACATGGAAATAACACTGGTACTGGTTCAGGCCTGGGGGGGGCTGGTTCACTGGAGTCTGCGTGGGAGACAGTTCAGTTAGCGTTGCATCAGAAGAGTTTGACTTTGAGAGTCTCAGGTTTGTACCTTGAGGGTTCTTGGTTAAAGCTTTGGGAGGAGAACTGTTGGGTCCAGAGATTGTTTGTTCAGCAGAGTCCGTTAGCTGCTTCAGCGTCTTACTTCTAGAGAGAGGGCAGACCTTGGCTTGAGTTCCAGCTCTTGGTCCAGAGCTGCATGGAGATCCAGAGAGGAGTCTTCAGGTTTGGCTCAGAGGGCAGACTCAGCAGGTTAAGCTCTTCCAGAGCTTCACAGGAGAAAAACAGGTTTCCAACTGGATTCAACACTGCGGCATTGAGGCAAGGTCTGAAGACAGATTATATAGCATGGACCCTCTGATGAAGGAATGAGCCTCAGCTGTGCAGGAGGCTCGGCTCCGAAGGATCCACGGCGGACTCTGCTGGAGGAAGGTGGTACTACTCCAGCTCCCAACAGTACCCCCCCCCTCAAGGGCGGATACCAGACGCTTCAGATAAGACCTAGGGAAACAAGGGAACAAAAAACAACCCACAAAGGGTGGGCGGAGGGGGCACCATACTAGGAAAGCAAGAAGCAGAGTCCACAACAAAAAACAACCCACCAAGGGTGGGCGGAGGGGGCACCATACTAGGAAAGCAAGAAGCAGAGTCCACAACAAAAAACAACCCGCCCAGGGTGGGCGGAGGGGAAGAAAAAAAAAAACAAAAACAAAAACTGAGTCCCAGAACAAAAAACAATCCACTAAAGGTGGACAACAACAAAGAAAGTCTCTGATATTTTACCGGGAGACCACCGGTAGCAGCTCAGAAATAGGTGCAGGGCGGGGCCGCCCATTGCGGCACCGAAGCTGATTCAGAGAGGACCGCCGACTGCAGCTCTGGCCGCAGCATGGAGAGAGCCGCCTACGACGACTCCGGTGCAGCCTCCGAGGTGTCCTGGGGCGCCCACCGTGGGCTCCTGGATGCTCGGATCGGCCGTAGAGGGACTCCAGTAGGTTCGGCGGAGCGGGGACTGGTTGACTGACTGGAGGCGTGGCAGGAGGAAGACCACGATTCAACGTGTCTATGAGTCCAATTAATATGAGGGTTGTGTCGCTCCAACCACTCATATCCCAGAACCAAGGGAGAACAGGCTGATGGGAAAAAAAGAAAGGTTAAGGTCTCTCGATGACTACCTGAAACTTGAAGCTGAAGAGGCAGAGTCTTGTGGGTAACCTGGTGTAGACTCCTTCCATCAATGGCTGAGACTTTAAGTGGCTTCCTCAGAGGGGTGGTCTTAATGTTTAGCTGTTGAACTAGATTAGAGTGAATAAGGTTTCTCTCACAACCAGAGTCTATGAAGGCTGACAGAGTGAGAGTCTGATCAGAACAGAACAGAGTAGCAGGTAAAAGTAGATGAGAAGATTTTCTACTTAGTTGATGCTTCACCAGA